ACTGATCTGGAAAATGTTGTAGTAGAATGACATTTCTGGGACCTTATTTTACATAGTTAAAACATCACTGCTGAATCTTAGCAAGAGGAAGGTTTGCTTTTAAGTTTCAGTAATGAAAACTCAGAGCACGCACTGTAATTTTCTGGGTGTGATGTGAAGAGGCAGCATTTCTCCAGTTTTTCTGAGTTAAGCTAGAAGACTGGAAAGGAAGTCCAGGCCTCCTTTACAAGAGCCCCTGAAGGAAGCACTAAACCTGGAAAGGAACAACCAGTACCAGCTACTACAAAAACATACCAAATTGTAAAGACCATCAACACTATGAAGAAACTGCATCAATGAAGGGGCAAAACAACCAGCTGGAATCAAAATGGCAGGATCAAATTAACACATAATAATATTAATGTCCCAATCAAAAGACACAGACTGGCAAACTGAATAAAGAGTCAAGACTCCTTGTTGTGCTGTATTCAGGAGACCCATCTCACCTGCAAAGACACACATGGGCTCAAAATAAAGGGATGAATTTACCAAGCAAATGGAGAGCAAAAAAAGCAGGGGTTACAATTCTAGTCCCTAATAAAACAGACTTTAAACCAACAAAGATCAAAAGAGACAAAGAAGGGCACTACATAATGGTAAAGGGATCAATGCAACAAGAACAGCTTTCTATCCTAAATATATATACACCCAATACAAGACATGCAGATACATAAAGCAAGTTCTTAATGACCTACAAATAGACTTAGACTCCCACACAATAATACTAAAGACTTTAATACTCCACTGTCAATATTAGACAGATCAATGAGACAGAAAAGTAATAAGGCTATCCAGGACTTAAACTCAGTTCTGGACCAAGTGAACCTCATAGACATCTACAGAACTCTCCACCCCACATCCACAGAATATACATTCTTCTCCATACATCACACTTACCCTAACATTGACCACAAAATTGGATGTAAATCACTCCTCAGCAAATTCAAATTAATGGAAATCATAACAAACAGTCTCTCAAACCATCAAGCAATCAAATTAGAAATCTGGATTGAGAAACTCACTCAAAACCACAGAACTACATGGAAACTGGACAACCTGCTGCTTAATGACTACTGGATAAATAATGAAATGAATGCAGAAATGAAGATGTTCTTTGAAACCAATGAGAATGAAGATACAATGTACGAGAATGTCTGGGACACATTTAAAGCCGTGTGTAGAGGGAAATTTATAGCACTAAGTGCCCACATGAGAAGTGAGGAAAGATCTAAAATCGACACCCTAATGTCATGATTAAAAGAACCAGAGGAGCAAGAGCAAACAAATGCAAAAGCTAGCAGAAGACAAGAAATAACTAAGATCAGAACAGAACTGAAGGAGACAGAGACACAAAAAACCCTTCAAAAACATCAATGAATTCAGGAGCTGCTTTATGAAAAGATCAACAAAACAGATAGACTGCTAGCCAGACTAATAAAAAAGAAAAGAGAGAAGAATCAAATAGATACAATAAAAAATTATAAAGGGGATATCACCACCTATCCCACAGAAATACAAACTACTATCAGAGATTACTACAAACACCTCTATGCACATAAACCAGCAAACCTAGAAGAAATGGATAAATTCCTAGACAGTTACACCCTCCCAAGATTAAATCAGGGAGAAGTTGAATCCCTGAATAGACCAATAGGAAGGTCTCTCATTGAGAAAGCAATAGCCTACCAACTAAAAAAAGTCCAAGACAAGATGCGTTCACAGCAGAATTCTATCAGAGGTACAAAGAGGAGCTGGTACCATTCTTTCTGAAACTAATCTACACAATATAAAAAAAAGAGAATCCTCTCTAACTCATTTTATAAGACCAACATCATCCTGATAACAAAACCTGGCAGAGACACAACTAAAAAAGAAAATTTCAGGCCAATATCCATAATGGACATTGATACAAAAATCCTCAATACAATACTGGCAAAATGAATCCAACAGCACATCAAGAAGCTTATCCATCACAATCAAGTCAACTTCATCCCTGGGATGAAAGGCTGGCTCAACACACACAAATCTATAAACGTACTCCATCACATAAACAGAACCAAATACAAAAACCACATGATTATCTATATAGATGCAAAGAAGGCCTTTGACAAAATTTAACAGTCCTTTATGCTAAAACCACTCAATAAAGAAGGTATCAATGGAAAGTATCTCAAAATAATAAGAGCTATTTATCACAAACACATAGCGAATATCATACTGAATAGGCAAAAACTGGAAGCATTCCCTTTGCAAACCAGCACAAGACAAGGATGCCCTCTCTCACTACTCCTATTCAATATAGTATTGGAAGTTCTAGCCAGGGCAATCAGGCAAAAAAAGAAATGAAGGGTATTAAATTAGGAAAAGAGAAAGTCAAATTGTCTCTATTTGCAGATGACATGATTGTATATTTGGAAGACCTCATCATCTCAGCCCAAAAACTCCTTAAGCTAAGTCTAAGCAACTTCAGCAAAGACTCAGGAGACAAAATCAATGTGCAAAAATCACAAGCATTTCTATACACCAATAACAAACAGAGAGCCAAATCATGAGTGAACTCCCATTCACAATAGCTACAAAGAGAATGAAATACATAGGAATACAACTAACAAGGGATGTGAAGGACTTCTTCAAGGAGGACTACAAACTACTGCTCAAGGAAATAAGAGAGAACACAAACAAATGGAAAAACATTCCATGCTCATGGTTAGGAAGAATCAGTATCATGAAAATGGCCATACTGCCCAAGTAATTTATAGATTCAGTGTGATCCCCAACAAGCTACCATTGACTTTCTTTACAGAATTTGAAAAACCACCTTAAACTTCAGATGAAACCAAAAAAGAGCCCACATAGCCAAGACAATCCTAAGCAAAAAAAGAAAAAAAACAAAGCTGGAGTTATTAAGCTACCTGACTTCAAACTGTACTACAAGGCTACAGTAATCAAAACAGCATGGTACTGGTACCAAAACAGAGATATAAAGCAATGGAACAGAACTGAGGCCTCAGAAGTAATGCTACACATCTACAACCATCTGATCTTTGAAAAACCTGACAAAAACAAGCAATGAGGAAAGGATTCCCTGTTTAATAAATGGTGTTGGGAAAACTGGCTAGCCATATGCAGAAAGCTAAAACTGGATCCCTTCCTTATACCTTATACAAAAATTAACTCCAGATGGATTAAAGATTTAAACATATAACCTAATACCACAAAAACCCTAGAAGAAAACCAAAGCAATACCATTCAGGACATAGGCATAGGCAAGGACTTCATGACTAAAACACCAAGAGCCATGGCAACAAAAGCCAAAATACACAAAGGGGATCTAATTTAAATTAAGAGCTTCTGCACAGCAAAAGAAACTATCATTAGAGTGAACCAGCAACCAACAGAATGGAAAAAATTTTTGCAATCTACCCATCTGACAAAGCGCTAATATCCAGAATCTACAAACAACAAACAAACTTACAAAAGAAAAACCAAAAACCCCATCAAACGGTGGGCAAAGGATATGAACAGACACTTTTCAAAAGAAGACATTTATGCAGTCAATAAACATATGAAAAAGCTCATCTTCACTGGTCATTAGAGAAATGCAAATCAAAACCACACTGAGATACCATCTCAGACCAGTTAGAATGGAGATCATTAAAAAATCAGGAGACAGATGCTGGAGAGGATGTGGAGAAACAGGAACACTTTTACAGTGTGGTTGGGAGTGTAAATTAGTTAAATAATTGTGGAAAACAGTGTGGCGACTCCTCAAGGATCTAGAAATAGAAATACCATTTGATCCAGCATTCCCATTACTGGGTATATACCCAAATGATTATAAATCATTCTATTATAAAGATACATGCACACATATGTTTATGGAGGCACTGTTTAAAATAGTAAAGACTTGGAATCATCCCAATTGCCCATGAATGATAGACTGGATTAAGAAAATGTGGCACATATACACCATGGAATACTATGCAGTCATAAAAAAGGATGAGTTCATGTCTTTTGCAAGGACATGGATGAAGCTGGAAACCATCAATCTCAGTAAACTAATACAAGGAAAAAACCAAACACTTCATGTTCTCACTCATAAGTGGGTGTTGAACAATAAGAACACATGGACACAGGGAGGGGAACATTACACAGTGGGGCCTGTTGGTGGGTTGGGCAACTAGGGGAGGGATAGCTGGGGGTGAAGGGACCTGGAGGGATAATATTAGGAGAAATACCTAATTTAGATAACAAGCGTACAGATGAAGCAAACCACCATAGCAAGTGTATACCTATGTAACAAACCTGCACATTCTGAATATGCACCCCAGAACTTAAAGTATAATTTAAATAAAAGGTAGTCCACTTTTTGATTTGCTGACTCACTTTTTCACTTGCTCACTTGCTCACTCAGTCACTTATTTTATCACTCAACAACATGTCTTAGACCTATCTAATTCTGCAAGACTAAAAGACGTCCCTGGTTTCTTTTAATTTTCTAATTCTGCTAGAATTCTAGAGAGAGCACATGAGATAAATGAAAAGGATGCTGACAAAAGAGAGAAAAAATTATGCATTCCCTACAGATACTCACTTTTCCTCAGCCTGAATTTGGCCCCTGCCATTGCAGGTGATCATGCAGGGGGTTAGGAGACTTTAGAGAGAATAAAAGAAAAAGCAAAAATACAGCAGAAAGACAAAGAGTTAATTACTGGTCATAGACAAGGGTGAGTCCTTCAGTACTTGGAGAAAATTCAAGAGTGACTTTAAATTCCCCATTTCAAATATATCTTCTGTTTTCTTGCCTTTCCCTTAAAATGTCTCTGAATAAGCTTCCTCTAACTGCCAGTGAAAGACAGCAGGCCTGACTTCACTGGATGCAGGTGTTTTCAGTCCCAGTTAGAGGGAGAGTTCATTCTACTTAAAATAATAATCAAATTGTATTTTGTTTCTCCTCACAGGGTATCTGGAAATTTGACTCAGAATGTCATAAGAAGTATGGAAAAATGTGGGGGTGAGTATTCTGGAAACCTCCATTGGATAGATCTGCTTCTGTGATGAGGTTACCCCACTGCATAGAGGATAGCCTCTGTCCAGGGCTTCATGGGATGAAGCTCTTGTCAACCTAAATACAAACAGAGAGAGGTTCTCTGAAAGAAGACGATAATTACTTAGAGTATTGCAATGGGAGTCTGCGTGCCATTTGCAAATTCAGGGAGGTAAAGCAAGACACAGATGCTCCATATGAGGAGGATTTCATAACTGTTTTGAGATAATTACTGTTAGTTGCAAAGATCAATAACAAGGATGATGCCACACAAAGGTTGAACAGGCAGTTGCTAGGCAGGTGTCCTTGCAGAAACATTTTTGTGTAAAGGTTGAAATGGCCTTTGTGCAAAGTTGTGTCTTTTGTAGAGTCTTGTGATAGTTTTGTTACTAGAAACACAAGCATGAGAATCCTCTCTTCAGAGCCTTCTTGGGATTTCTCAGGGTTTAAAAAATAGTGACGTCACTTTGCTTCTGACAACGTTCACACTCGCTATTGTAACATTTTCAAGGCTTGTCCTACCAAGGATCCGTGTCACCAGGTGTCGGGCTCTTCAGTCTGAACTAGGCTGGGAGCATTGTGGTTACAACTCTTCTCCAGGCTTTGTTGGCTCAGGGACTCCCAGCATTGCCTTCTGTCCAGTGGCTGCCTATTCCCCTTTTCCTTTTTCCTTCCTTAGGTGCCCGTTTATCACATGCATTGTTTCAGACTCCTCTAATATGTGCTCATAAATGCATGACATCATCTCCTTCCCACATGGACTCACTTCCAATTAAAAGCCTAAACCCTTTCATTTAGACATGGGATTTAACAGGTGCTTTTTAAAGAAGAGTTGAAAGATAACAGGGAAATAGATTGGAAAACCATTTATGTTCCACCTTTTTAAACTTCCTCTTCAAGTATGGAATTTTTGGTTCCACTTTGCTTTTTAAATTTAAGCCAAGACTTTTTAATAGAAGGATATACAAGTACTTACTGGTTTATACCATCTTGCTTACTTTGAAGAAGAGATGCTGAATATTCTTAAACCACTGTGTTCCCTGGGGGCAGATGGACTGATTTTATCAGGTGGCCTCAGCCAATTGCAGCAGCTGTTCCCTGTCAGAGGTGCTAGCGGTTTGGTGAGAGCAGTGGAGGAGGTGCGCTGGTGTTTGTTCACTAGAAGCAAGTGGGAGAAGCTTTTGCCTCTGTGCTTCTTCATCTTCTCTCACCAAGTCCTCAGAAACCACAGTGCCGGCTGCGGGGTGCTGTGGAGCTGGCACCGCCCATCCAGGCAACATGACTGAGTAGAAACAACACACAGCTCAGGATGTCCATGGGCCCACACCAACTGCCCCTTGCAACATTTACTCTTGTAATCATCTGATGATTAACCTGCCTTCAATTTTTCATGGAAATAATATTCTTTTTGATAATAAAATATTTTAAACATAGGAAACATTATGGGGAGTGGCATAGGAAATACCCATGAACGCACCACCCAGCTTAACAAGTGCTCTCCTGTCATTTCTAACCATGATCTCTTTCAAGAGCTCTTTTGTCTTTCAACGTCCCTTCCTTGTTTGAGCCACATTACCCTTCACTGTATGAAGACTTGGGTGGCTCCTGTGTCAGACTCCTGCTGTTTGTCATACCCTAATGAACTAGAACCTAAGGTTGCTGTGTATTGTACAACTAGGGGTATGGATTGCATAACATCAGGATCAGTCTGGCTTCCTGGGTGTGGCTCCAGATACAGAATCGAGCTAGTGAAGCTTAATCCACTCTGTTGTCCCCACGCAGATCATACGATGGTCAACTCCCTGTGCTGGCCATCACAGACCCCGACATAATCAAAGCAGTGCTAGTGAAAGAATGTTATTCCGTCTTCACAAACCGGAGGGTAAGCATCCATTTTCTGAAATTTAAATAATGATTGATTGAATGATCTAATTTTTATTTTGAAAAAGACTCATATGTTCACAGAAAGTTATCTAAAAAATGTACAGGAAGGTTCCATGTACCCTTCATCCTATCTCCCCGAATGGTAACATCTTGCAATCTTGCATAACTATAAATATAGTATGCTCATATTATTAGGTTGGCACAAAAGTTACTGCAGTTTGCCATTTTTTAAAAACTGCAATAACTTTTGCACCAACCTAATAATATAGTACAGGAAATTGACTTTAATATAGAGTACAGAGCTTATTCAGATTTCACTGTTATACATGCCCTTGTTTGTGTGTGTTTTTGTATGTGTGTAGTTCTAAGCAAATTTATCACATTCATAGATTTGTGCAGCGACCAGCACCATCAAGATGTGACCCATTCTGTCACCATGTGGCTCCCTCCTGCTATCCTACAGTCACGATATAGAGTATCTCTTTTTCTCTGACAGGTCTATATTCACAGCAAACTCTTATTTATTTGAGGAGGCCAATGTATTCATATTTCCTTTTATGGATTGTTCTTTTGGTGTCAAGTCTGAAAATCCTTGGCCTCACCCTTCTTCTTACATTGTTTCTTCTAAGAGTTTTATAGTTTAACACTTTACAAAATGTAACTCTATTACCCATTTTGTGTTAATATTTGTATAAGTTATGAGATTTAGATCAAGGATCATTTTTCTTTTGCAAACTATGGCTGTCCAAATATTCCAACAGCATTTTGGGAAGGTGAGCATATTGTCAAAAATCAGCTGAGAATATTTTGTGCATCTATTTCTTATTGTTTATTCTGTCCCATTGATGACTGTGTTTACACCAATACCACACTGTGGTAACTCTAGTAGATGTACAGTAACTCAACATCATATAGATCGATTCTCTCCACTTTATTAATTTACATTTTCAAAATGGTTTTAGCGTTTCTTGTCCCTTGCCTTTCCATAAAAATTCAGAATAAGCTTGTCAATGTCTGTAAACAAACCTGCCATAATTTTGATAAATTAAAGCAAAGGTTTCCAATGTTTTGTCTTCCCTGGGCCACAGTGGAAGATGAATTGTCTTGGAACACACATAAAATACACTAATACTAATGATAACTGATAAGCTAAAAAAGGAGGCCGGGCGCAGTGGCTCACGCCTGTAATCCCAGCACTTTGGGAAGCCAAGGTGGGTGGATCACGAGGTCAAGAGATGGAGACCATCCTGGTCAACATGGTGAAACCCCGTTCTCTACTAAAAATACAAAAAATTAGCTGGGCATGGTGGCATGTGCCTGTAATCCCAGCTACTCAGGAGGCTGAGGCAGGAGAATTGTCTGAACCCAGGAGGTGGAGCTTGCAGTGAGCTGAGATTGCGCCATTGCACTCCAGCCCGGGTAACAAGAGTGAAACTCCGTCTTAAAAAAAAAAAAAAAAAAGTCCATGTATAGTTTTCATTGTATCTACCACCAAAGATAAGCAAAAATGTCCTTGCATAATAATCCTAATTATGCACTGCCCCATTCAGAGGGTCTTTTGAAATCAATGAATGGGTCCCAAGTTTGCAATCACTGATATAGAAAATGTACATATCTAAGTAAAATAAACCTCACTACTTTGATATTTTTTATTACAAAAGAAAAGAGGGCAATGTAAAACCAGTGGGGTACTTGACATTGTTTTTGAGAAACTAATGCATCAATATCTGGCTTGATGGAAGTGGTTTTAATTCTCAGTGAGTTATCAAGGTGCTCATCAGATATTTTGGTTCTAATTTTACTCTTCATGTGCTTCATCCTTGAAAATAGTTGCTTACAAATGTAGATGCTGCCAAAAAGCAATGAGTGAACAACGTGTGATTGTGAAGCAAGGGATATTCGTTGTTGGGAAGATAGGTCTTAAGTCCAGTAAAGAAACACAATCACATTTTTCTTTAAGTTGAATGTCAGACTGCAGCTCTGGGCATTCCATTTGAAAATTGGCAGGTAACATTTATGTCAATGGAAAATGGAGTCACATATATACCAAAATATTGATTATTTTTTCAGAAATCTTGAAATTCCTGTTTTCAAATTCCTGTATCAAATTGAAAAGTAAGGCTGCATATTTTTTGCTGTTCACAGGACCATGTTTAGCCAACGTGTCAAAATGCATAAAATTGTTTGCCTTTATTTGAACTGCCATAATTTCAGTTTCATGTGGAATGCTGTTATGGTTTCAAACATTGTATTGTTAAGTTGGTTTTCACCTTGAAGACACAGGTTTAACTTGCTTAAATAGGCCATCAAATCCATTGAAAATGCTAAATCTGGGAGGGAGGATCCAAGATGGCAGTTTAGGAGCAGCTCAGGATTGCAGCTCCCAGTGAAAGTGCAGAGGGTGAATGGGTGCTGCATTTCCAGACAGGTATTTATTGCCCACAGACCAGGAGATTCCCAGGCAGAGGAGCCCCACGGGTCGCCAGCGCAGCTATTTTGGCCGGCATGGCTATTTTGCCAGCGCCCCAGCATGGCAGTTCTCCGTATAAAATACACTAATCTGGTTGCCCTTTTAAGCTGGCGATTGGAGCTCCAGGAAGGCAGAGTCGCCCACTCATCTGATTAAACAGGGGACAGAAACAGGGAACCAGGCCAGGAGATTCCTGGGCAGCACCGTTGTTTCAGCCGGCGCAGTGGGTCACAGCATGGGAAATCACACACATCCCGGTGCCTTTTCAACAGGCGACTGGAACACCTGGGAGAGAGTCAACCATTCAACTTAAAAAAAAAAAAGGCTCTGAGGCAGGGAGCCAGGTGATCAGGCTCGGCGGGTCCTGCCACCCCAAAAAATCAGCAATGGGAAACGCCATGGGTTGAGAGTTTCACAGCAAGCACAGCTGAACCCGGGAAAGTCCAGCTCTATGGGGGAGGGGCATCCGCCATTACTCAAGCACTCCACCCCTATGGAGGTAGTCTGCCATTGCTGAGGCAGCCCACCATTGCCAAGGCAACCCGCCACTACAGAGAGAGTCCGCCATTACAAAGGTGGGCCACCATGGCCAAGGCATTTCTAACCACACACATATAAACACGACTGCAGGGAAGTGCACACCACAGTAGGGCAGAGCCCACAGCAGCTCAGCAAAGCCTCTGCAGGAAGACAGTGACTAGGCTGCCTCCTTGCTGGGCAGGGAAGCCTTGAAACAAAAGGAAGCAGCAAAACGGAAACTCATAAAGCCCTAACTCCCTGGGACAGAGCACCTGGGGAAAAATAAAAAGGGGGTTTATGAATTCTGCTGCAGCAGACTTAAACGTACCTGCCCAGCAGCTCTGAACAATGGAGATCACAGCTCAGTACTTGAGCTCCTATAAAGAACAGACTGTCTCCTTAAGCAGCTCCCTGACCCACATATATCGAAAGAGTCACCTCACAAGGACTGATCAGACTGACGTTTGGCGGGCATCATTCTGGGACAAAGATAACAGAAGAAGAAACTGGTAGCAACCCTTACTGTTCTGCAGCTGCTGCAGGTGATCCAAAGGCAAGGAGAGCCTGGAGTGGACCTCAGCAGTCCTACAGCAGAGGGGCCAGACTGTTAGAAGGAAAAATAAGAAACAGAAATAACTTCATCATCAACTGGATGTCCACTCAGAGACCCAATCTGAAAATCCACAACTACAAAGATGACAGGCAGATAAATCTACAAAGATGGGAAGAAACCAGCACAAAAAGGAGGAAAACACCTGAAACCAGAACACCTCTCCTCCTACAAGATATCACAACTCCTCACCAGCAAGGGAACAAAGCTTGATGGAGAATGAGTGTGATGAAATGACAGAATCAGACTTCAAAAGGTGGGTAATGAGAAACTTCTGTGAGTTAAAAGAACATGTTCTAACCCAATGCAAAGAAACTAAGAATCTTGAAAAAAGATTTGACGAAATGCAAATGAGAATGGACAACTTAGAAAGGAATATGAGTGAATTGATGGAGCTGAAAAACACAACACAAGAACTTCACAAAGCATTCACAAGTTTCAACAGCTGAATTGACCAAGCAGAAGAAAGGATATCAGAGGTCGAGGATCAACTCAATGAAATAAAATGAGAAGGCAAGATTAGAGAAAAAACTGTAAAAAGGAATGAACAAAGTCTCCAAGAAATATGGGACTATGTGAAAAGACCTAATCTACGTTTGATAGGTGTACCTGAATGTGACGAAGAGAATGAAGCCAAGCTGGAAAATACTCTTCAGGATATTATCCAGAAAAACTTCCCAAACCTAGCGAGGGGGGCCAATATTCAAGTCCAGGAAATACAGAGAACCCCACAAAGATATTCCTCAAGAAGAGCAACCCCAAGGCACATCATCGTCAGATTCACCAGGGTTAAAATGAAGGAGAAAATGCTAAGGGCAGCCAGAGAGAAAGGTCGGGTTACCCGCAAAGGGAAGCCCATCAGACTCAGCAGATGTCTCGGCAGAAAGCCTACAAGCCAGAAGAGAGCAAAAGCCGATATTCAATATCCTTAAAGAAAAGAACTTTCAACCCAGAATTTCATATCCAGCCAAGCTAAGCTTCAAACTTGAAGGAATAATAAAATCCTTTGCGAACAAGCAAGTACTCAGACATTTTGTCACCACCAGGTCTGCTTTACAACAGCTCCTGAAAGAGGCATTACACATAGAAAGGAACAACCAGTACCAGCCACTCCAAAAGCATACCAAATCATAAAGAGCATCTACAAAATGAAGAATCTGCATCAACTAATGGGCAAAACAGCCAGCTAGCATCAAAATGTCAGTATCAAATTCACACATAACAATATTAACCCTAAATGTAAATGGGCTAAGTGCACCAATCAAAAGACACAGACTGACAAATTGGATAAAAAGCCAAAACCCATCAGTGTGCTGTATCCAGGAAACCCATCCCACATGCAAGGATACACAAAGGCTCAAAATAAAGGGATGGAGGAAGATTTACCAAGCAAATAGAG